CTAAAACTAAATGCTACCAATATATAAATGCTAAAATATTATAAATAGGGAAAGTTTTACATACTATATACGTATATCAAACTAGGGTTTTGTATGTAACTAGGATACTAAGGCCTAACCTCCCACCAGAATGGTGGCTTTTGATTTTATTTTTTTAAAGGCNTGTGTGTGTCTTTGACTAATTAAGCAGCCGGAGCATAGTCATAATCAGCATCATCATCGTCATCATCCCCATCATCCTCGGACCATGCAGCCGGAGCATAGACACAACCGGTCGTGTCATCGCCATCTTTCCTCATCGGAGGTTTACAGAAATGACGATTTCCGTTATGGCCATTTTTGTCATGGTAATCAAAGAATACCAAACAAATTGAGCTCATCAATATTGTTGAAATTTGGGACATATTCTTAAGATTGAAGGAAAAGAGATGATATATAGTTAAAGGGAAATTGTAGCTGAGCTATAAGGCAGTGAGTTGAGGAGAAATGGTGAAGGTATTTATAGAAGAAAAATGTAAAGTACTAATAAAGAGGAATATGCAAAGGTTTATTTTGTGGTATTGAATGCTTGAAGTAAGAATGGCTCGTGACATAATGTGCTCAAATGGCTCCATAATTGTGCAATTCGCATGTAAATCTTGTTGGGCTCGTGCCCATGTTGTCCAGCCAAAAGCCCAATGACCTAATCCTATTCTTTTTTGATTCTCAATCCTATTTGTAATTGGATTTGGTTTATTCCTATTTTGAGTGGATTTTGGCCTTAAGAGAAAACACCACTCATGATCTATAAATAGGATAATCTTGGAGAATTATTCTATGCTCATTGATACTAGTCTTTGAAAGACTTAAGCACATAAGAGTGATTTTTGAGAGAGCTTTCGTCAAGAGAGAAGAGAGAAGAAAAATATTTGTTTTGCTGCAGATTTTTATTCCGACCAGCAAATATTCAAATCATGTTTTCCGATTCGTTAACTGTTGGATCGGGCTGAAATTTTGAATGAATGTTCGTAACATCTTGGTATTAGATTTGAATGGTGGAGATCGGATTTGGAGGCTCGTAGCATCTGATTTCGAGCCTCAAACAGCACCTTCATTTTTGTGGATTCTCCTCTTTCTTCAATTGATTAGTTGTTGCTCTTGTTACTATTATTGCTCCGTGTTTGGCACTTGTTGTGTAGCCAATCTGGAGAACTTTTGTAACCCTCTTATTGTTATAGTGGAGCTTTTTTGGATCTTTGTGATCCCGTGGTTTTTACCTTCGATTTGAAGGGTTTTCCACGTTAAAATTTGGTGTTCTTTATCTTCTTTATTTTCGGATTTGCCTCTTCCTCGACATAACAAATCTGATAACCTTTCAAGTTTCACAAGGCCAGTGAAACTTGGGATATACGAGGGGGGAAATAAGAAATAGCTAGATTTACAACTAGTAATTGAAAATTAGTCACAGTTTTAAAAATAGTCGAAATTTAGTCATTTTTTCATGTAAAGATAAAATATAAACAAAAACATTCTTAAAAATTCAAAAACTTCCAGCATAATATGCAGAAGTTTGAATTTTTTACATATGAGATTCCAGCATAATGTGTTGAATTACATAATTAGTTCCAACATAATATGCTGGAATTTATATGCATGAGCTCCAATGTCCAGCATATCATGCTAGGTGCGCTGGAGTTCCTACATAATATGATAAAAGTTTATACGCAGAAGCTCCATAACCCAGCATATTATGCTGAAACTTTTTGTATTTCAGTAAAATAGTGGATATTTTTTAATAATTTTGCAAACGTTGGCTATTTATCAATTACCAATTCGAAAACTAGTTAGCACATGTTATTTTCACATATACGAGTATATGTATATAAGTACAAACGGCAAAATTAAATTGGAGGTTTAATTTTATGCAATGATGTTTTAACTGGACGCAATGTTTAAGAAAGAAAAAAACACTATCAGAACTTGTGGTTAAACATGTCACAATTTTTTCGACTATAAATGTGTATTATTATATAAGGATAAAATAATAACTTTTAAAACTGAATTGTTTCCTATTATAGAAAATATCACCTTTTTTTCAATAAAAGGAAAAAACATCATATAAAACGGAACAAATGGAGTATTTTCTATTATCTCAGTAGTACGGTATTCTATGGCGGGGTTGACATACCAATCCATCTAAATAATAATTAGTAAAATGTATAATTATTATTACCTCATAATAGTATGGTTCAATTCTCACTATCATTCTTTTCCCTTTCCCTTCTCCTTTACTTCCCAATGTAACAGAAAATATGTAAAAATAAAATGCCGAACCATTATTTTGAATAGTTCAGATCAACCACCAAAAGATATGGTACAGTGGATGGGGATGTTCTTCCCTTAATTAAAAATTTCGGGTTCGAGTCTTGAATATGGAAAAATCCTTGATATGGAGCATTTTTCCCCGAGTGAAGCCTTACGCGGGCGAATTTAAATATAATCGGGCTCCAATACAAATACCAAACACCGAGTGAGAAACCAAAAAAAAAAAAATAGTTCAGTTCAGGATGCACCAATTGAGCAATTCGTTGGGACGTAACTACTGTCTTGTCTATAATAGTGTCTAAAACTATAAAGACTTTTATATACCGATAATGTGAAGATGATTTACTACAGAATTAGAGGAGTAAATAGGAAACCTTCGCGTACAAGTGCAACAACCAGTATCGTCAAAAGTACACATGTCACATGGACTTCAAGTTTAACAATTGTTGCCCCTCGCGTCCATAAGCAACACATTTAATTTATGACCTCGAAATTCAGCTCATGGTTAAGGGACGGTCAAAAGTTAAAGATCATTAAAAAGTATTATATTTCTGTAATTTTTTTGTAGGGATTTCTACATACTTATACTATTGGATACTTTATTATTCTCTCTATTCAAGTTTCAATTTAATTACCTTATATATACAAATTTACCAATTATATACACTTTAGGAATTAAATGAGTATCTCTTTATATTAGGATTCAATTATTCTCATCCCTATTCTCTCTCCCTCGTGCTCTCTCTCTCTCTCTCTCTCTCTCTCTCTCTCTCTCTCTCTCTCTCTATATCTCTCCGTCTCTCTCTCTATCTCTCAATCCTTAATTCCAATAATGTAGAGCAAAGAAAAAGAGAGCAGCAATTCCATCATTGACAACCATTAAAAAGTTTTGAAGCTTTGAATTCAAATTTGAATTTTCAAAAAATATTATTTATTTGAATTGGGTATTGTTGCAAACAATTGGGAATTCTCTCTACGTCTCTCTCTATTTCTCAATCCCTAATTCCAGTAATGTAAAGCGAAGGAAAAGAGAGCAGCAATTCCACCATTGGCAGCCATTAAAAAGCTTTCAAGCTTTGAATTCGAATTTAAGTTTTCAAAAACCATTATTTGTTTGGATTGGGTGTTGTTGTAAACAATTGGGAATATTGTTTGGAGTTTATATCTCAATTTTTAGGGTGTTTTGGTGAAGATTAGACTTGATTTTGGCTGAATTTCAGATTGAAACTCGAAGAAGAAGAAGAAGAAGAAGAAGAAGAAGAAGAAGAAGAAGAAGAAGAAGAAGAAGAAGAAGAAGAAGAAGAGGAAGAAAAAAACGACATGACATACATTATACTGCAGAAATTGTAGTAAAGTTGTAGAAAAATTGTATTATGGTGTTTATATATATTTTTTATTTAAATATTATATGAAAGTCGAATAATATTGTATAAGAATTGTATTTAAGTTGTATGATATTGTAATTGTATATAACTGGGTAGAAATAATGTGTGAAAATCGTATATAAGTTGTATAATATATAATTAATTTTATGAAATTTGTTTTTACTATGTATAAATTAGATACAAAATATACAAAAGACATATTGTATAAAATTATATTTAAGTGGTATGATATTGTAGTTGTATTTAACTGGGTAAAAATAATATATGAAAATTGTAGATAAGTTGTATAATATATAATTACTATATATAAATCAAATATAAAATATACAAAAGACATATTGTATAAAATTTGTATAAAAATTATATTTATGTTATATTTAAGACAGTGTTACAATTTGACAAATGCCAATAATGTTTTAAGAGATTGAATTTCAAAATTCCATCAAACTTCCTTTATTGGATGAAGTAATAAGTTGCATTTCTAAGCATCCAAGGTATGCAATCAGATATGAAAAGAGTATCTCTTGCACATTGAATCAAGGAGCCAAGAAAATTCATGAACAAATATTTTCTGCCTCTAGATACACATGCCACTGGAAATGCTTGACAAAACTTCATTAATTTGTAATGTATACGTGGAATGTATATATTTTGTAAATAAAACTTATTTAGATTGGGTAATTAATAAATATAAATATTTTTGGTAATAAAGTTTCCAATAGTGTATAGGTATGTAAAACTCCGTTTTTTGTAAAGCATGAAGGTCAAGCCCAATAAAGTGGGAAACCCCAATCCAACTGGAAGCCTATTTTCTGTCCAGCCCAAAAGATCAAATTAATGGAAAAATGCTAATAAATCCATATACTAATGAAATTTTTAAAAACCATTATTGACCATTTCTAAAACTTATATTATCAGACTTTTTTCATAATTGAAGAATTTTAAAATTTTGCTTAGTTTTTAGAAAACAAATCAAAATGCTTTTACAAACTCAAAGATAAGTTTTCGATGAACTTACTGGTCCAATGTTCTCCAAAATCATATATTTTATATATTATATATAGATAAACATATTTAATTAATGATTAATTTATCGCTAATGACTAGTAAAAGTAAACGATAAATCTGATCGGTAATTAGTTTAAAGATCCCATATTTAAATTAGAATTTATACTTAAATTAAAAGAATTTAAAAACAAAAAAACAAAAAACAAATGAGGGATCTGCAATAAATCACAACCAATCCTTTCTATGGTAAATATTTATTACACGTAAGCCAAAGACATCCTTTTAAAACATGCAAACCAAAAACATCAGTACTAAAACCAAATGGCCACCTCACAACTTTCCGGCCACATTTTCCGGTCATCACTTCACCGGCGCACCATTTTCCGGCAATGCCACCCAACTTCAGTCTTCCTTACTCCCCCAAAAAATATCAAAACAAAACCTCTTAAATATGACAGAAAATTCAAGTGGTTAATAAAGTTTAGTTTAGTTGATAAACAGACCCCAACAAAAAAACCAACAGTTGATATGAAACAATTAGTTGAATTTTTATATGAGGATTTACCTCATTTATTTGATGATCAAGGTATTGATCGAAAGGCATATGATGATTATGTGAAGTTTAGAGATCCAATTACAAAACATGATTCAATTGATGGCTATTTGTTTAATATTGCCATGTTGAAACAGTTGTTTAGGCCTGATTTTCAGCTGCATTGGGCTAAACAGGTTAGCATTTCTACAGTTTCTTGTTAATTGGTTAGTTAAACTGCTGTTTGTTTAACTTTCTTACTTGGATTTAAGTTTACGGGAGCCTTGGCGTAACTGGTAAAGTTGATGTCATGTCACCAAAAGGTCATGAGTTCGAGCAGTGGAAACAACCTCTTGCAGAAATGCAGTATAAAGCTGCATACAATAGACCTTTGTGGTCCAGCCCTTTTCCGGACCCCGCGCATAGCGGGAGCTTATGCACTGGGCTGTCTTTTTTTCCTCGGATTTTAAGTTATGTTCAATGATGGTGTGAAATTATTTTACTCTAATTAATGTGTGTCGTAGAGATAATGTAATCACCTCATAATTGACCTGACTGTGTAAATAATTTTATATCGTCGGTGCATAAAACGAAAGGTCCACAATCACTTAGAGTACCATGTTACAAATAAATGTTTATCATCAAGAATCACTTAGAATTACCTTGCGATATGATTGTGTATTTGCACTGTCAGTGCCTAAAACTTAAGCGTCACGCCTATAATACAATTATTAATGCTTATTATAGGGAATCACTTGGAATTGCCTTACGATATGATTGTGTATTTGCATTGTTAGTGCCTGAAACTTAAAGGTCTGCGAACATATTACCTTTAGCCGAGGGTCTATCGAAATAACTCTCTACTTGCACAAGGTAGGGGTAAGGTCTGCGTATATACTAATCTCCCTAGACCCCGCTTGTGGGATTACACTGGGTTTATTGTTGTTGTTGTGCCTAAAGCTTAAGCACCATATCTATTATACAGTTACAATTGAATCACTTGGACTACCTTAATTGTGTATTAGTGTCTCATGGTTTTGTAAATCTATTTATGGATACCGATACATGTAGTGTACTATGTAGGTTCTCTCTTTCAAAATTTAGTTTGGTGTCAGAAGTCTTATTCAATCATTTAATCTATTTGCTTTGGCCGAGGGTCCATCGGAAACGGTCTCTCTACCTTCTCAAGGTAAAGGTAAGGTCTGCGTACACACTACCCTTCCGAGACCCCACTCGTGGTATTACACTGTGGTATTACACTGAATTTATTATTGTTGTTGTAGTCAGTTTGCTTTGTGCTATTAAACTTGTATTTCTAAGGAATGTGATACATAAATTATGCCTTGAATTTTTGAGTGATTGAGTTTGTTGTAGACAGGGCCCTATGAAATAACTACAAGATGGACTATGGTGATGAAGTTCATTCTTCTTCCATGGAAACCTGAATTAGTCTTCACTGGCACTTCTGTTATGGGCGTCAATCCTGAAACAAACAAGTTTAACAGCCATGTGGTTTGATTCTTCACTCTTCCTCGACGCAAATTCAAATTTATTAGATTGCTTTGCAGATTAGTCACCGACTCTTGTTGAAATCTATAGGACTACTGGGATTCAATTAAGAATAACGAATATTTTTCCCTGGAAGGTCTGCTCGAGGTCATAAAACAGGTGCGCGCTCGAACTGTTTTAGTTTATGTTTCTTGAACTGTTGGACTAAACCAGCGCAAAGATACTCTTATCATGGTGTGATATTGTCTGCTTTGGGCCAAATTCGCGCGGTTTTCCCTATGAGGCCTCACACCATTGGGAGATCTCTACACCTTATATATAGGCTCTCAATCTTATCAACTACCAATGTGGCTTTATTATAATTTGAGAACACAAATTTTGGGCAGTTAAGGATTTACAAGACTCCGGACCTGGAAACGCCTAGTTATCAGATACTAAGAAGAACAGCAACTTACGAGGTTTGTCATATTTATGTTTACAGCGTTGTACTTCAAGCTAAGAACTTCTATATTAGGCGTACATTTTTATTGGGTTTGCGCTACTTTTAGCTGAACTGATGCACTAGGACGTTTAGATTTATGATGTGGAATGGTCACAATTATCATTTATGTAATACAGGTCAGGAAATATGATCCGTTTATAGTTGTTGAAACAGAAGGTGACAAACTCGCAGGAAATAGAGGTTTCAATGATGTTGCAGGGTGAGATAAGTTGACCCTTTTTCTTTAAAATCTTCTGTGGTGTTTTCTGATTTAGATTGGCGGACCATTAACTCGTCTTAATATAGGTACATATTTGGGAAAAATGCTGCAACAGAGAAGATACCGATGACTACTCCTGTCTTCACTCAGGCATTTGATGCTGAAAAATCTAAAGTGTCAATCCAGATAGTTCTTCCATCGGATAAATCTTTGAACAGGTAACACGTTTTATTAATTAATAGACACGAAAACATCTCACACCGAGCGATCATATTGTACTTATTACAATATGAGTTCAAATTTTTACATTCGTCGAAACTTAGTAATTCATATATATAATTCATAAGCATCGTTCGCCTCTGTGTAAGAGTTGGATTTTAGTTATTTTCTTTGATCAAATGAGAATTATGGAAATTAAAGCTTTATTCTTAACAGCTTACCAGCTCCCAATCAAGAAGGTATTAGCATAAGGAAGACAGAAGGAGGAATCGCGGCTGCACTAAAATTTAGTGGAAAGCCAACAGATGATATTGTTCGCGAAAAGGAGAAACAACTTAGATCCAGTCTTATTAAGGACGGTCTCAAACCTCAATCGGGTTGTATGCTTGCTCGCTACAATGATCCTGGTCGAACGTGGAAGTTTATAATGGTATACTTCTATGTACTGAATATCGTTCGTTTCATTGCATTCTTGTTTAAGTTCTTATTTTGTTTTAGTATGAAGTGTCTCTTTAGAATGAGAACCTTGGCGTAACTGGTAAAGTTGCTGCTATGTGACCAGGAGGTCACGGGTTCGAGCCGTGGAAACACCCTCTTGCAGAAATGTTGGGTAAGGCTGCGTACAATTGACCCTTGTGGTCCGGCCCTTCCGCGGACCCCTCGTATAGCAGGAACTTAGTGCACCGGGCTTCCCTTTTAGTCTGAAGTGTCTCTTTATCACTTTGTCATCTGGTGTCTAATCTATTTGTTTTTCTGTTTGGATTTTTGCAGAGGAATGAAGTTCTTATATGGCTTGAGGATTTCAAGCTGGATTAACTCCCATTCCAAAAATTGCTGAGATTTTCATGTATGTAAAACAGGAGAGATTCACAAGCAAAGACAGTTTAGAAAAATTCTTATACTGAAATGAAATTAGTTCTCAAAATGTTTAGAGATTTTGACAAATATATGACTTGTGCATAGCCACAAATGCTTGTGCTGAACTCACTTTACACTAAACAAACTTCTATTGTGCATTACAAAGTTCGATGTGTTGATGGTGTAAATAATATTTGTCACTTGTAAGGTAATTAATGGTAATTAACACAAAGACCCCTTTTTTTGTTTGGTTTCTCACTCGATATTTGGTACCCGTATTAGGGTCTGACTAATCGGATAGCTTCCGAAAAAATCCACAATGGAGGTAAAGTGCTTGCAAAAGTGCCTTATGCATGACAAGATTAACTAAAAATTTGTTACCAATGAGCGATTATCCCATTCCATTGCATGCCCATGAATTTAAGACGTGAAGCACGGGCAAATACACTAGTTTAAGAATCTAGATAATCATGTATGTTTGGTAACTAAATTAAATAGGTAGATAGGCCATTCAATTGAACAAATATTTGCATCATCCTTTTTGTTTGATATTTAAAAAATAGGAAAAAAATTCATGAGGAAATTAGTTTTACGTGTTTTAGGAAATTGGAAAAATGATACAACTATTTTAATTTTTAACTTCATATTACTTGCTTCAACTAAAATATCAAATAGACCCCCGACATCCTTTCCTCCAAGAACCTCCCACCTTGCTCTTGGGGAGACTCAAACTCACAACCTCTTGGTTGGAAGTGGATGTTGCTTGTCATCAGAGCAACCCCTCTTATCTAACCATGAAATAAAGTTTCATTAAAATACCAATTCTTTTTATCGATATTTAATATATTTTTTTCCCAAAAAAAGTATTTTTCACTAACTAACTAAACACCAAAATATTTTTCATAAAAACTAACTTCTGTCACACCAAAAACACAGTCTAATTGAAGAGTAAGTATATTGTTACTTGGCAATGATTTTTCAATAAAAAAACACAAATCAGGTCAAGGATTAGTATTGTCCATTAAAATTGATGGCATTGCATGTTCTTCTAATTCTTTTTTATCTAACCGTCAAACTCTCATTACCCCTAATTTCTAACAAAAGTTTAATGGATATCACAATTTTACAAAAAATTCTTTGTTTATTTTCTAAATGCCATATAATATTTTAGTTTAGTTCTCTTTCTCATTTGCTTCTCTAGGGGGATTGAAGCTATCTGGGGTGTGACTACCATCTAAAGGTCAATTCTTTATCTATTTTTTTTTTCCAATTTTTGTGTTTCTGAATTTTCTTGTAATGTTTATCTATGCAAAATCTGTTCTTGATCATAGTGGTGATTGAGTTTTTTTAATCAGAATTGAACCCATTTATGCACCTCCTTTTGTTTTTGCTTTATGCATTTTAATCCTCTGAATCAAGAAATAATAAGATATGATGAATCTGATTCATTGCACAATGAGCAAAGATGTCATATTAATCACAATTTGGAATAAGATTCGTATTGCATTTCAANATATATATATAAGTTTTTTTGAAACCATAATTATTTTGCAACTAAATTAGAACTGCATTCTGTTTGTAAAAGAGAAAACCCCAACAAGCTAATTCCCTGCAAAAAAAAGTTTATTTTTATAGGTCGCCTAAATTATAACTACAGGTAACGACCTATAATAAGTGAAATTAGTAACTTGTAAAATAAAGCAGATAACCTGCTAAATAGGTTAGACCATATAAATAGAGTAAAAATCTTAACAATGTCAATTTATATAAGTTCCTATAGGTTACATGTTGAAGTCGTGGAAGCAGCTAGAGATGGACCTAGGACTTGAAGGTTGCGAATGCACTTTTTGATTCACCAAAAAACTGCTTTGTATATAGGGTGTCCACTACTAATATATCACTATTTCTAATGACATATGTATGTATACATAGAATTTTTGCCGAGCTTTACGGATGCTAGTGACCCCTCTACCTATAGTATAGGTCTGCCACTGGAAGCAGCCACTAATGCTTACATTAGGGCAGACTGTCTACATCACACCCCTTGGGTTGCGACCGTTCCCCGGATCCTGCATTAATGCGAGATACTTTGTGCACCGGGTTGCACTTTAATATAAAATTAAAAAAAAAGGGCAGCCCTGTGCACTAAGCTCCGGCTATGTGCGGAGTCCGGGAAATGGCCGAACCTCAAGGGTCTATTGTACGCAACCTTACCGTGCTTTTCTGCAAGAGACTTTCCACGGCTCGAACCCGGACCTCCTGGTCACACGACAACAACTTTACTAGCTACGCTAAGGCTACCCTTCCTGTCCTTCAATATATATAGTTAAATTCATGCAAAAATATACTATCCTTGTTATCTCTCAAAGAATTACTTAACCTTATGTCAATTTTTTTTTTAACAGGGAGAAAAATGACAGAAACAAAAGCAACTACACCCTTGATACCACCCTCATCACAGAAGCTACCAGATTACAACAAATCAGTTAAGTTGAAATATGTTAAACTTGGTTACCATTACCTAATTACACATGGAATGTACCTCTTATTAACTCCTCTAGTGGCTATTGTTGTTGCTCACATGTCAACACTTACTCCTCATGATCTTTCTGAATTGTGGGATAATCTTCAATACAATCTTATCTCAGTGATTTCATGTTCCACATTAATAGTATTTGTATCAACAATCTACTTCTTAACCCGTCCTCGCCCTGTATACCTCGTGGATTTCAACTGCTACAAGCCTAGTGAAGCTCATAAATGCACAATGCAGACTTTTATGGACCAGTCTAGATTAACTGGTGCGTTTTCGGAGGAGAATCTTGAGTTCCAACATAGAATCCTTCAACGATCAGGCCTCGGGGATAACACTTACTTTCCCGGGGCTTTACTCAATATACCTCCAAATCCATCATTGAAAGAAGCTAGAAAAGAAGCAGAGACAGTTATGTTTGGTGCTATTGATGGTCTATTGGCAAAAACGAACGTGAAAACGAAGGACATTGGAATCTTGATTGTAAATTGCAGCCTGTTTAATCCGACCCCGTCCTTGTCTGCTATGATCATTAACCATTACAAGCTTAGAGGGAATATAGCTAGCTATAATTTAGGTGGGATGGGGTGCAGTGCTGGTGTAATATCAATTGATCTTGCTAAGAAACTACTTCAAGTACATCCAAATACATACGCGTTGATCGTTAGCACAGAGAATATAACACTCAATTGGTATCTTGGAAATGATAGATCAAAGTTAGTGTCAAATTGTTTGTTTAGAATGGGAGGTGCAGCAATACTACTTTCAAATAAATGGACAGAGAGAAGAAGATCAAAGTACCAACTTTTGCATGCTGTTCGTACGAACAAAGGTGCAGACGATAAGTGCTTCGCTTCTGTGACTCAAGAAGAGGATGCTAATGGAAAACTAGGCGTTTCCTTATCGAAAGAACTAATGGCAGTGGCTGGAGATGCACTGAAAACTAATATTACTACCCTTGGACCCCTTGTGTTACCAATATCAGAACAATTGCTTTTCTTTGCTACACTAGTTGGGAGAAAGCTTTTCAAAATGAAACTCAAGCCTTATATTCCGGATTTTAAACTAGCGTTCGAGCATTTCTGCATTCATGCTGGTGGAAGAGCTGTGTTAGATGAAATAGAGAAGAATTTGCATCTTAGTGAATGGCACTTAGAACCATCAAGAATGACATTGTATCGTTTTGGCAACACGTCGAGCAGCTCTCTATGGTACGAGTTAGCTTATACAGAAGCTAAGGGAAGAGTAAGGAGAGGTGAAAGAGTGTGGCAGATAGGTTTTGGTTCAGGATTTAAGTGTAATAGTGCTGTTTGGAAGGCATTGAGAAATATAAAACCAGCAAAGGAAGTGATCAACCCTTGGATTGATGAGATAGAAAAGTTTCCTGTGGATGTTCCAAAGGTAGCAAACTTTTGAATACCAAATGTCGATCAGCAAGCAGAGGCGAATCCAGAATTTAAAGGTAGTTGGTACACCTAGATATTTTTCAAAAATTTCTCTAAAATTTTCTATACACACACATACATATAGTGTAAGTTCGACTCAGTGGGTGCACGTGCACACACTGTGCGCGTATATGCTGAATTAGCCTCTGTTGGCAGTTGTTTCTTTTGATTTTCTGGGGAAAGTTTGTTAGCTTTGCCATAGGAATGGCATTGTAAATTTTTTTATTTCTTACTCTATGGGTTTTTATCAGTAGTGGTGAATCTAGAAGTAAACTACAAGCAAGGACATTTTGTTAGTTGTCTATACAAGAATTTTGTTGTCTTTTGGATGTTATTAATTGTACAAGAATTCAATCAACTATTATTGGAAGCTTATTTGGTTGTGAATTTTGATTAAAACATGTAATTTTGATAGCTTCATTTCAAGAAAATGTAAATTGTCACTTTCAGACAAGAGGGGTTTGCTTTGATGGCAAGCAACCTCCACTTCCAACTAAGAGGTTGTGAGTTCGAGTCTCCCCAAGAGCAAGGTGGGAAGTTCTTGGAGGGTAGGATGTCGGGGGTCTATTTGGAAACAGCCTCTCTACCTCAGGGTAGGGGTAAGGTCTGCGTACACACTACCCTCCCCAGACCCCACTAAGTGGGATTATACTGGGTTGTTGTTGTTGTTGTTGTCACTTTCTAATGTTGTTGTAAATGTTTGACAATTCTACCATAGTATGAACAGTATATGTTGATGGGAAAATTCCTACTTTTTATAATATTCGTGGTGGCTGGTCACCTTATACGCACTTTGACTATTCCATCAATTCTTCCTTTCACGTATCAACACATCCTTTCACGTATCAACACATGTATCGGATAACTCCAACTAAAAGTCTCTAAACTTCCGTATTCGCCTAAAAGGACTTAGATCTTCACCATTGACCAGTTCTGCAATTTCCCACATAACAATTTATTTTCAAACTACAACTTGAAAATGGGATGGTCCACGAGGCTTGACGCGAAAAGTGAGAAGTGCACGCTTTTATGAAGTGAAATACACGATGTACAAAAAATTTAAACATACTAATAAAATTGCAATTAGAAACTTAATTTTCAGCATCCAATATACAATGATGCCGATATTAGTCCAACTCCTCAAAGTTGAGATGCAAAAAAAAACCGACAACTTCTCGTTGGATCACTATGCGCATCACTTTTTGAAGCGCACGTTTCTCTTAAGTGCATGGCTTCACCCATGAAGCAATAGCCTCTTGCTTCGCATCACGTCATGCTTTAAGCGATGAAGCGATGGCTTTTAGTAACACTGAGTTCAGACACTACAGAGGATTTAATCCCCACCAATCACCATGACAGCATTCACAATTCACATTCATTGATGGATGTGTTAAGTAAAGGGCTTGAGAGATAATAGAGGAAATCAGACAATCACTTGCGACATTACTAATATCAGCAAAGAACCTTGTCTGGAATACCTAAGGAGAATCTAGATTGAATATGCAAAAGTAGTAGGTACAGAAACTCTATGTCTATGCATTTGCAGACACCAAAGGCAAATGGATAAAGTTTCGAAAAAGGAATGTTTCTCCCAAAAGGAAGTAGACAACTTGTAAGACACGGGCTTAATTACTCCTTGGAAGATTTGTTGATGAGCGACTTGTGAATGTGTGGTATTACACCTCCTCCAGCTATAGTTCCTTTGATCAGAGTATCAAGTTCCTCGTCACCTCGAATTGCTAGCTGCAAATGTCTTGGAGTGATACGTTTCACCTTCAAATCCTTGCTCGCATTTCCAGCCAACTCCAGTACCTCAGCAGTCAGATACTCCAAGATAGCAGCAGAGTAGACAGCTGCTGTGGCTCCCACTCTTCCATTTGCCGTGGTCCTCTCTTTCAGCAATCGGTGAATACGCCCAACTGGAAACTGAGAAGGCACAAGCCAAACAGTTTAGAAACCATAACGAAAGATAGTCATTTGATCCCAGCACTACAAAGGATAAAGGGATTTGCAGAATCTAAGGTCACATAATCCTGTTAATAACATAAGATGCTGCTGAAAAAAATTCAAAGACATTACTACACATGGCAGTGTACTGTAACACCAGCAATGCTCTCAAATGTCATTGCCAGGATGTATATAGGATACTATATGGATGCCTAGGCTTTGAAATGATAAAGCATCAATGGTAAGTATAACGGGGCAGTGTAACACCAGTAATGCTTTCGAACGTCATAGTCAGGACACATATAGGATACTATATGGATGCCTAGGACGGCGAAGTATCATGTTAAATATAACGGATGAGTCACAAAAAGGTCCCTTAACTTAATCTACAGTATAATGCAAAAGGAGTAAAAAAAAGACAAGTGTAGCTACTGCATAACTGTTGAGCAGTTTGCAGGCTTGCACGGTCCAAGTCAAGAGTGAAGAGTAACAGAATTCCTGGAATAAAACCACCACCTAACAGACCCTAATATTGACACAAGTTGTGCATTGTATAACCACAATGACAAAATTATTCAGCTATTATTGCTAGCAGGTCATTGTCAAACTAATCGCTGAAAGTAAAACGGGTGCCCGCCCCTTCCCCCTCCCCCAATCCCAATTAAAAAAGATCATGGACAAAACCAATCGTCAACCAGTTAAAAGGCACACTAGTAACTGCTTTAACTTATAATTCCAAAAAAATTGCTGCCACCAATGAAAAGAAGCTATTTATATCTTGAAGACCATAGCAAAAATATCACTATAACCCTCACCAACATCCTACTAAAGATCCATAAACAAGGCAGAGAAAGTCCTTAAGTTCATTCATTACAAGTTCAATCGATAGCTATCATCTTCAAGATATCACTCACCATACAAGCAAATAATTTTGGCCATTAGTTCACAAGAAAAGGTATCTCTTAGATAGTCCACTTCCTCTGAATTTGCATTTGTCTCCAGCCATGAAACGGTGTCTTCAAAGTGGTTCAGGATTCTTGCAAATATATGGACAGAGGGAATAATAATATTCTTATGACTGACACTTGTTTTGATACTCTATGGAATGAGTTGAAATTTGTAAGGTTGGATCAGTTAGCAAAGGGAAGAGTGCCTGAAGTAATTTCAAAATTGATTGTTCACATATTTGCAAGAATTTTGAATCATTTTCAAGACACTGTTTCACGACAGGAGATAAATGCAAATTCAGAGGAGTGGAATACCTAAAAGATATATTTTTTGTGACTTAACTGGCCAAAATTATTTGCTTGTACGGTGAGTAATGAGTAGGGGTGGACATAAAAGCCGGAAAACCGAAAGACCCAACCGAACCGAATTAATTCGGTCCTCCGGTTCCGCTACTTCGGTTTTTCATACAATCTTTGGTATTAGGATATCACTATATTTGGTTTTTCGGTTCGGTCTTCGGTATTAAAGTATCAGAATTTCGGTATACCAAAATACCGAACTTTTTATAAAGCCGCCAAATAAATTGAGAACCAATGTATGTAAAGGATCTTATTATAACTGCTGACTCAGTTTTTAGAAGTTACCATTAAAAATTTACGGTTGCTGCTTTACCAATTAGCAATGACAAGTGACCACGGTCCACAACAGTCTATAGTTGCTGCTTTAAAAACCCAATGTCTAATTGTCTATTGCCCTTTAGTATACCATTACAGCTGCTGCTGTAGAGTTTTGATGTGATGCTACTTTGCTTACTGCCCATTTGAATATTTGATATGCTATTTTAATATTTTCTGAATTTGGCTACGGTTCAATTAGCTATATTTTTCCTTAAAGATATGATTATCCTGTCAAAAACTTATGGCAAGATTCTAGTTACATTTCACGCATTGTATGGTAAGAAAAATGTGGATAGAGTCACTTGCCTACTTTTAAAAGATGGTACTCTTTCTTTTCCAAAAGAACATTAGTTCTCAATTGATTTGGAAGCTATATATAAGTTATTACATACACATGATAATACCGAAACCGTACCAAATCAAACAAGAAATACAAAACTAACTTTGGTATGGTATTTGGTATATACAATTAAAAACCAAATAATCAAGTACCGAACCAAAGTTCTTAAATACCGAACTAAAGTACCGAACGCCCAACCCCGCATGGTGAGTGATATATCATAGATGATAGCTAGCGATCGATAGTAAATAGCAGCCCCTGTGCAAGAAAGGCATGGGCGCACAACGCCCTCCCTCACTATGGCCCTAGTATGGCGAAAGGGCAAGACTGGCAGGCCTGGAGAGCCTCGCGATTCCACTCACGCCCAGGGGCGTACGCAGAAATTTTTGTAAGCGGTGTCGAAATTTATAGAAGAACTTGAATATAACTTTGATTATCATACTTTTAGACAACAAATAAATTTAGTCTATTGGTTTTATTGAGTCTTAAGTTAGAAAAAGTCTTCTTCATCACAATTTTTAACCGCAAAGGCTCTCTCAAATATTTGCAAAAGAAAAATGTGCTAGTTGAGGTTTGAGCCTTTGACCTCGAGCAAAATGAAGTACATAACCAATAGCCAAGAGACAATTTATGTCAAGTGGTGTCATTTTTTCTACTTATTCGTTTCTGTACAGTATTAATACATATATTTAATAAAATTTTCCGACGAAGCAGTGTCGCATGACACCGGCCGTAAGAGATAGCACGTACCCCCTGAAATTAGTCTAGCTGGCTCGGATACCATGATTGTAAAAATAAACAATCCCAATAGTGATTCTAAGACATGTCTCATAAAAATCCCTAATTTACAACAATAACCCAAAAAATCTAGGAAAAAACATGACATTATTAACGAAAACGAAGGTTATAGAAGAATTAAACAAAATCCCAGATATTTTTTGGACAAAAATAGAAAGTAAAGGAGTAAAAGAGCGCGGGAACCTGAAGACCAGCACGAGAAGAACGAGACGTGGGTTTCTTCTTATCTTTGTCTTTGTTTGCCGATGTTTTTCCCGTTATTAATCCCTTTGCTCCTTTCCCCGACATTTTTCCGGCGAAATTTTCCGATTTGAAAATTTTACAGTAAAAACCCAAACAAAGAATTTTGAGGGAGGGGTCTGATTCAGTATACTATTCACAACTTCACAGCGGAGACGATCGGTATTTTCTATTTATATATTGTACATTAAATGCACTTGGACAATTTTGTCCCTTTCCAAAGTACGTCAGAATTCGGTCTTTGCACTCGATTGAAAAGGGTAAAAGAGTAAATCATGTTTAGAAACGGGCTTTTTGCACTTTTCTTTATTTTTTATTATTTTATTTTTTTGAAGCAACTTAAAATAGATAAAATTATATAAAATTGCATACAAAAGTAAAATTAACTCTTAACTCACTTCACTACGATTTTACTCAATTTTTAATATCTGAAAAAT